CTCCCTGGGAAATTAATGCAATGGCAATATCAAGCTAAAAGGGTTTTCTCTTAACTGCAGGCCCCTGTGTTATCTGAAGCTTGGTTACCTGGGGTGCTTGTTGAGGAGAGCAGAGTGGTGCTGAGGAGGTGGCTGGTGCATCCTGAAATCCCAGCCATGGTGCAGTGTAGTGTGGTGCTCTCTGGGCATTGACTCTGCTCCTGCCAGAGTGGGAGTTGGGATTTATAACAAAATCATCACTATTGAGCTCCTAAAGCTCTTCTCATGCAATTTGGCTGTGGTTATGTGAACATCTTAAAGCTAGACCAACATCTCCACAGACGTGGCGGGGCAGGTGCTTCCTCCAGCCCGTCCCGGTGGCTGGCGCCAGGCCGGAGCGCGGTGGGAGGCCGGGGGCGCCTGGCACCGCTTCCTGCTTGCTCGAAGCCTCCAGGAGAGCTGCGGCCTTGGGAGCGTCTGAAACGCGCGTTCCCAGAGCCACGCAGCGGCTTGGCCAGACACCCAGTGTGTCCTCAAAAATACTAAGGAAAAGTTCTTTAAGGAGCTTAGAGCAGCATGCCGCATAAGACCCAATATGCTTCTTGCAGCACTGTTTGTTACTGCAGCTTTAGCACTTCGTGTTGGCGGTGGCTGGAGGTTTTTGCAATGCTGGAATAGGGAGTCCGGTGTGGTCTGGCAGTGACATCCCTGGGTCAGGACTTAATGCAGAGTTTCTAAAACACGAGCGCGCATCTTGCTCATGTTTTCTGCGCTTGGATTTCTGGCTATGAAGATGGATTTTCTGGTGTGACAAGCAGCCTCCTTCCTTTGCAAGTTAATACTGTGGCTAAAGTCCTGGGTGCTTCAGAGCGTCTTCTCAGTGACTACCCAGATAGGTTTATCAAAGGCCACAGTTTGCCCTTGAACCTCTCCTGAAATTGGCAAGACCGGGATTTGCCCTCCTAGGCTCTTCAGGAGGATGCTCCTGGGGGCTGAGGAAAAGCAAACCAGAAAGGTTGAACAAGATGTGGGTTCTTAAGGAAGCAGAATATGTACAAATCTTTTTCAGATTTTTAAAGATCATTACCAAAGATGTTTACAGAAAACATGGAAGACAAGACTAGAGAATTTGCAGGAGAGAACTGGTTTTGTTATGAAAGACTGTCAGAGTGAAGCATTGAAGAGGCTATGTGGGTCACAGCATCTTTTATCAGACTTACAGAAATAAATACCTGTCAGGACTGCGTATGCCTTTTATTCCACTGCAGGGTGGGAGGGTGGGCGGCATGATCTCTTGGCATCTCCTCGAACTGTATTTCATGTTGCTGTTTGCCTGTGTCTTTTTCTCTGTTGTTTCTAATTCTGGCCACCACCACGTGCTTTAGCAGGCTCGCTGCTCACTGGGACTTGGCAGATGGATCTGTCTGAAGGAGGCTCTCCCAAGGTCAAACAGCTGAAATTGCTGGGCAGAAACATGGGTAAAATAGAGATAAAGGAGATGGGGAGGACAGCTCTGCACAAACTGCATTTTTTGGCTTTCTGTAAGCAATTGCAGAAATACAGCTTTTCTCTTTGGTACTACTGAGCAGCTGCAGTCTGCCGCAGCGTCCCGGCGTGGTTTGGGGCTGCTGCTCCCAGGGAGCATGCAGGGCAGTGAGAAAACGCAGGAATTTTTGTGCGCTCCCAATGCAGCTGGGCTGGCTCTGTGGGAATTGCTGCCTTGGGCTGGCAAACACGGAGCCCCGTGTGCTCCGCTGGCATTGCCTCTTGGACTAACCATCTGGACGGCATCGGGAGATGAAGCCTTTCTCCCTGTGCTGTTGGATCAAATCTTTTTTGGTTAGGAGTAATAAGATACTTAAAGCCGTTAGGAGAAAATGCATGGCTTTCTTCTCAGTGAAAATCCCTAATTCACTGTTCCAAGCAGTGCCTTTTCCCCAGGACAAAGCCAAATGTTGTCTTTCTGGATGTCTAACTTCACAGGTGCAAAGGAGCTCTCCGTATTTGTGTGGGGCGTTTTTAGGTTGCTCTCCAGCGTTGCTGACACAGTAGCACAACCCTGGGCTCTGACGCAGCCAGAGTTTCAGTAGGAGCCACGTGTGCAGAGCTCCCCACTTGGCTGGTGCTTGTTTATCAGAGAGCTGAACTCTGATATCGATAAAGATAGTGGTAGGTTTTTGTCTTTTTTTTTTTTTTAGCATAGGGTACATTTGAGGAAAACCATCTTTATGCACTGCTTTTATTTTCTCCTGTGCTTCCTCTCATTGAAAACGCTCTAAGTTTTTCCAGGGCTGTCAGTTGCAACCCAGCACATTTTCACTATTTGCTTTGCTGCAACTTTGAATTTAGGGAACAACCCGTGGGTCCAAGGCTCTGGAAAGGTCATATCAGTTCTGGATTTGTTAGATAAAAGGACTGGAAATAAAAATTGCATAATATTTGAGGAGCTGGGATTTTTCGCCTTAGCTATATATACTTGAAGGTTAGCTAAACCACTGCTACAAAGAGCAAGAAAAAAAGAACACAGAAGCAGAAAACTGGTTATGTTGTGCATCACACAGCGTTATTGGTTTGTACAAGTTTTGAGATAGAACTTAAAAATAGGTTAACTTTGAGACAAATAACTTTGCAAAACACAGATTTTACAATGTATTTTGTCATACCTAAGTCTAACAAATGAAAGTTTCCTTTGTATTAATTTTTTTAGTAATATTAGTCCCACTGTAAATCATCTACAGTAGAATAAGCTAGTGAAGAACAGGAAATACAAGGAATAAATAGTACCAGGAGCTGAGGGATGTTACTTTGTATGAGAGAGGCTGCAGAAGCCCTTTACTGAGCAATGAAGTCAGCCCTGCATGATTGCAGCAAGAAATAATATGCAATGTATTTGTCACCTTGATGTCTGATTAGGAAGAAACAAAAGTAGCCTGTAATGCATTGAGCTTGGAGAGCTCACTCCCCATACAAGAGTTACCTGAAGCAAATTGTACATGCTCTGTGCAAAGGCAGATACTGTAGGTTATCTGTGTGTTCACGGGATTCGACATCTGTGCGATTTACTTAACCTCTGCTGTAAACTCGAACCAAAGTGTGTTTTCCCAGTTTCCTGCTTTATTCTGAATTCAGTGGGTGCTCACAGACTTGCAGGTAGACCTGCTTTTAGTGCCTCTCTCCAGTGCAGTGGGTGTCTTCATAGAGTGATTAGTGTAGAGTTTGCGGGGTTTGTCTCCGTTTGCTTTGCAGTGAGCCCCGTATCTGTAGTTTATTTGTATTTTTTTTTGTATTTTTCTGAAGGGGCCCTCGTGCTGCTTATGTGGCTGGTAAAAGGAGGAGGGTCACAGAGCGGCCTCTTTGTGGGCAGTGTTTCCTGCTGCTGCTCGTGCCGACACCATTAGAGTAAAACGTAATTATCAGCAGGCTAACGAGCTGCTTTTAAAATCTTTGTCCTCTTGCTAGAAGTGAAGTTTACTACCACAAAGTACTTGGCCTCCCTCCCCCTGCCCTGGTAGCTCCACAATACAAAGTGCATCATTGCTCCATGCACAGGTGAAGTCACTGCTGTGTCACATTCCACACTCCAGATAATGCTAAAGCCTTCATCTCTCTGGCTTTTAATCTTTGAGCTGCTTAAAACAGAGGTGAATGATGGCCTGCTTGTCAGGATTTCAAAGGTCAACAATATTTACTGTAAAACAGTTGCATTTCTTTTAAAATGTGGGAAGGAAGCCTTTCAGCAAAGTAGCTCCAAGAGCCTTCCTCAGTGCTTAACAAAAACTTGCAGTATCTTCTCTGTGTTTGTGTGTGGAAGTGACAGATTTTTGCATTTAGTAGGATACATGACTTGTTACAGGCTCTTCCCATTTACTGGCTTTGTAGCTGTGTGTTGTAAAACTGGATTCTTCAACTCCGAGTAGCTTGTGAGAGGAGGATGGCAGAAGGGCAAAACGGGCTTCCTTGGGATGGGCGGGTGGAAGGGGAAAGAATCCAGAGCCCCTTTACTGCAAGGATTGCTTCTTAAGAGCACCCCAGGCCCTCCGGTTGGGCAGTTTTGTTCAAGGTGGTAGTAAAGGAGGGGGTGGCTTTTGCTGGCCAGTAAGAATATTTGTGTGTCACTGCGGATTCAAACATGGTTAATCTGAGTAATTTTTACTAGAAGTGTTTCCTCAGCCTGTGGCTGGGCTTGTAGTGACCTACTTGACATCCCTCAGCTTGGCTTTGTATTGCAACATCAAGGAGCATGTAGCCACTTTTGGCCAATTCCAATTCTGTTACTAACCTTACACCTCAGCACCTGAGCATAGTTTAAGTAATGCACATAAAATCACAGCTTCTAAATGAGGGGTCCATTAATACAGCTGTCAGGAAAAAAGATCCTGTATATCCTTCCACAGAGCATTTACTTGATCAAAGCAATCTAAATGCTTCATTATGGCCCTTAACATCTCTTAACAACCCTGTGCTTCATCTCTGGACCTTGCAAATGCCAACAAGTATTAATTGTGTGAAACATTCAATAACTGGACTCCATGATCAGATCCATTAAACCATCTGTCTCAGGCAAAAGGGAAGTACTGAGGAGGGCTGTTGCTTACCAGGATGTAGCACTCGTCGGAACTACTGTGACCATTCCCTCCCCAGAGCTTGAGGTAGGGGCTCCAGGCTGCAAAGCTGTTAAATGCTGCTGTTTTGCCTTCTGTAGCCCAGCCTCAGCTGGGGAAGATCTCCAGGGGCATTTGACTTTGGCAACTGGTTGTGAACCTGAATGAACCCAGTTCTGCTGTTAGCCTTTCAAGTGCACTTGGGAGGGAAAAACTACAGCTTAAATGTTTTCTGAACTTGCAGGGAATCTGTAAAAAGGGAAGTAACAAAAGCAGATTTTCAAATTTTGGTCCTTCCTCCTGCAACTTGTATTGAAAAAAAAGTTGCTAAAGTTTAATAGCCAAAAGTATTGAAGGATTTTAAAAAGAAGAGTATTTAATCCACAAGGTTTCAGTTTACAATATAAAAAGAGTCTCTGATTAAAAACTAGATATCCAACTGTAGTCCATTTTTCTTATTTTTCGTAGCTCTTTTTCCTCTGATTTGGACAGTTTGCATGTTGTTTCTCCCCAGAAATCCACAGGTCTTTGGTCATCTTGTTCAATTTCAACAATATTTCTTTCTTCATCTGAATCATCTTCTGAGTCTTTACTTTCCATTTCTACTTCATCAGCAACCTCTTCAGCACTGTAAGAGGAAGATGATGGCCAACAACCCAATTAATGAAAATACAACACAGTTCTGTTCACATGCTATGGAGGTAAATGTTCATGTAAATTACTTTAAACATTAGGGTTCTGCCCTGTCATCTCAGGCTACTTAAAAGCTTCCCTTGGCATCTCGAATTCAAACCATGTTCAAATAGCTGTTTTTCTCTGCTTGGTAAGTAAACTTGCCAAATAAAGTATTTTCTCCAAATAAAAAGCATAGCGTCAGAACAGGCAGATCAGCACTATGTAAAAAGCAGTCTTCTATAGGATTAGAAACACTACAGTGGCAGATGAGAATATTCAAGAAGGCCACTTTTTTTTAAGACCTGAAAATGTCACTTGGTCTTAAAAATCCCCCATAAAACCTGAAGTGTTCCCAGAGGAAAAGAACACTTACCTGCTTTAAAAAGAAAACAAAAAACCTTAAAGTGGCTGCTAACTTCTCTCTCCAACAGTTCAACTCACCTTAAAGTAGAAAGCATACTGCATAATAGCTATATACAACCATTTACAAGGGAGATAATTACATTTTATACATGCACATCTGTTGTAAAATTCTTTTTGGATCTCATTAGAAATGACTTGCACGATGAGTCTTCCAAAAATCTTTTAGATTTTAAGGATTATCACTTAATAGTGATAGTCCTCTAAAGACTATGACTTCATATAAACTGATTAACGTTAATAAGAAAATGAATCTTTATAGTGGTATATGCCAGGCTCTTTAAAAAGAGCCCAATCCTACAGTTTCTTACATGTAACTTTAAATGCACAGCTTTACTAACTACTGCTGTTAAAGTACAAGTCCTATCTGTGCAAATATTTAAACAGTCTGGCCACTAAATTCTTCAGTAATGAGACTACATGCAAGCTTCTCTACATTCCTTGTATTGGGCTTTTCCCAATGTTTTGTTGCTGTGACAAAACTGCTTTTACTTCCTGTAGTCCAAAAAGAAAACTAGTAGCTCCAGCAAACACAATGTAACTATATATTGTGTAATCATAATCAACCAGAATTTGATCATGGGAGGCAAAAACACCATTCCTCCAACTAGCATTTCATTTTGAGAAACTCCAGTGTTCGTAAACCATCTTTTTATCAGTCTGTACAAATTCATTAGGGCAGCTGACACCAGTGACAGACATTGATCTTTGGCTTGGTAAAGATGTGAGAAATCTTATTTTTTTTTTTTTTAAAAAAAAGAGCATTTAATTGGCTTGTGTATAAGTGACAAGGTATTCATCTTAAGGCTACAACTATGAACCCTATGCTTGCATTCTTTTTCTAGAAAAGTCATCTCAGAGCTAGCTATCTTACACCTTAAGTACCTATCCAACTGGGATTGATGCACTACAGAACAAGTTACCTTGCTCTGCAGCACACACTAGTACGTTGTAGCTTCACTAGGAACAGCCCTTATGTTCTAAGAACTAAAACTCTCATCACTAAACAATGATCAAGCCATAAGGATACTAAAGTAAGAAGTAAAAAAGTGGCAGGGAAACAGATCAAGCTTGCTTGATATTACAGATATTTATTCAAAAACATTCCATCTCTGCCATCAAGGTCAAAAGTGAACACACAAAACACAAGTACCAAAGACAATGTTTTCCTAACAATTACATTTGGCCAAATAATAAAATTAGACACACGGACTGAATAGTCAGTCTGCAAGTATCTCCTAAAAGGTCATAACATGTTGCCAAAGTAGTGTTCTAGCAAAGCTATCTTAATAGAAGAAACAGTACTGGAAAACTGTTTTTATTCTTTTAAAAAAGATGCACTTTAATTTCAATAACTAAAGATAGTTCTTCACTATTTTTCTTACCTTTTGTTCTCCTTAGAGGTCAGCAATGAATTAATAAATATAGGACACAGGAAGGAAGCAGATGGTAAAACATGTGCTGGAGTGTGCAGGAGCTGAAGAGATAGGACAGAAGCATTAAGAAAGCTTCTTTGTCACAGTTTTGTGAACTTACTATAAATTACCCCTACCTCTTTGACAGCAGGTGAATCTTGGTTGTGGTGACTATGAACAACTACTTTTCCAAGGTCTACATCCTCTGGTGATTTTTGATGTCTGTGCTTTCCCAGTAGCAAGCTAAATGGGGTCACAGGGAGACTTTCTTCTACTGCCAGCTTCAATAAAAAGAAAACACAGCCCATAATTAAAAATGACAAATTTTTAAAATAGAATTTTGGTATCAAAAATCTACATTCTATCTCAGTTCAGGTCATACTCAAGATTCCTAAAGTTAAAGAAATTAAAATAAGAAAACATTTTATCCAAATACTGAATATTTTAGCTTCATGAGAACAGCATGTAAGTCATTTTGAGATGTATCCTTTTTTAACTTGGTATGAGAAAAGGAAGGAATAGCTTCTTTTATAGGTTTCTGCAAAAAGCAATTCTGAAAAGCAAGCAGATATGGATGACTGCTAGACCTGCGCTGCTAGCAAGTATAGCAAGTAGACATAAATGTTTGTGACCCCATGTTAGGACCTGATTGAGCACTTTGGTAAAAGGGAGTTTAATCTGCAAGCTGAACATTATCTGAATTTTGACCGTCAGAACTGGTATTAAAATTACCTGTTTGCTTGACGGTGTAAGCCTTTCTTCTGGAGACTTTGTGCTGAGGGTCAGTAGCTCCTAAAATACAGAATGATGTAAGCCAACACCGTACATAAAACTGCTTTGCACATTTCAGCATATTGCTTACAGAAACTTCTGAGTCTAAAATTCAGTGAGTCTGAATTTTAGATATTTTGGGTGGAAGGAAGGAGAAAATTATAGAGAAAACTTGAATATACTGTGAAACACCTGTAAAATTAGCAATACGACAGCTTCTGCAGGTTGTCTGACTAAGTTAAATAGGCATTTTTTTATGAAGTCCCCAAACTATCTAGTTTCTTGCCTAAGGCAACATAAGCTCTTCAAAGCAAACAAACAAAAAGTTAAAATGTGAATTTAAAGCTTAAGTTCTTTTGACAGTATACTAAAGATCAGTGTGGCTTATGCTGCTTTGAAATAATAAAGAGAAATTATTATACTGAACAGCAAAACTTGAATTTCTATCAACCCCATTTAGAAAAACATTTCTTTGAAGAAACCACTGTCCTTGACAATCATTTTTTCTTACTTGCGTGTTAGTCAAAAAAAATATTTGGGATCTCCTTAGCCAAAGGTGTTTTTCTGCACCAGTTGTTTCAGGGATGTCCCTTGGAACGAAGACAGCAAACTGGATCTTCTCTTTACAGAGGTTTCTCTGGATACAGATTGGCCGTGGCTCATTCGGTTTAAACACAAACACTGCAAAAACAAATGTCTTTAAAGCAAGAAACTTTTACCTTGTTGGATAGCTGTCACTGTCCTGTTGTATCATAACTGGTAAAGCTGGATAGGAATGCCTTTAAGCACTAGAGTAACTATAATTGGATAACTAGGACTGAATAACACAAGGTACCTTTCATGGTATTTCATCAGGGAATATACTTATAAATTAATTTCTCTGAGTAATGGTAGCTCTAAGAAAGGTAATTTTACCAAAAGATCAAAAAAGATGCATAGTTCATCCAAGGTTTTGAGGTTATATGAGAGGGTGAGCAGCATGTAAGGCACTAACCCACAGCAGATGACTAAAGCCATGTTATATCTGGAAAATAACTGTTGGAGAGGGGTTGCTGACATGCTCTGCTTGACTGCTGCTGTCTGACACAGCACAGTTCTTCAGACAGGCAAAATATGGACTTTTGTCTTACTGCTTTTATGGAGCTGAATTCCAAGAAAACCTTTTTTTTTGAAATTATTATGCATTTACAGCCTAAAGTTCCAACTTCTACTTGTGAAAGGAGCTTTTGTACTTACAGCTGGAATCTTTAGAGATGCATGAGACAGCAGCAATATGCTCTGAGAGGGGATCAGGTTGCAGCACTAAGACATTGAGCTGGGCACTCCACTCCACTGGAAAGCAAACACAGCAACAGCCAGACATGAAGAGAGGCATTCAGTGCTATCCAGGTGCTTCGCTAGTGAAAGGTCAAATGGGAAAACACAGCTTCACCTCCATTGCAAGGAAGCATACACTTCATTTACCCCCAGATGAATCAGAACATACAAATATTATCAGTGTCCTCTACAAAGGCAGGGAATACTATATATAGTGTTTCCAATCATCTCTTCGGAAGACACGATGCCTGTACACACTGAGCCCATGACCGTGGGGCAGAATGGTCAGAACTGACATGAAAATAGTACTTCCATGGGGTGTTTTGTAGTGAGTCCACTGGGAATCAAACTAGAATTGTTTTAGGTACTATAGTAAACATGAGCATTAAATATCATCACTGTTGCTCTAGCAGAGACTTGAACTGGTCTTACATGCACAACTGAGCAGATTCCAGCAGCACAGAAAGCCATGATCAGTAGCACCAATAAGGTATTTAGAACATGTTAGTCTCCCAAAGCAGATGTTCCTACAGAAGTAAAACATCAAAACAAGTTAACAAATTCAGCTTTTCTTTGCTTCTCTATACAGTAATGATTTGCTAATCACACAAAAGAGAACTTAAGATGTGATTCTGCTCTTAGATCAGGAAGAGCTTGTATTTTGCATTCATGTGGAGTGAAAGCAAATGAACCTCTTCTGCCTCTCCCCTGCTGAGGGTTTTATATTTACTTTGAAATCTCCTGTACTTGTAGCAATTATAGGTAATTTGAAACTTCCTATGAGATTTTGATTTCAAGCAATGATTATAATCTCTTAAATGAACAACAAACATAATTACTATTGAGTGCTGAATACATAGGGACTGAGGAAAAAATCCATAATTAAATAGATTAAGCAATAGAAAGAGGAATATTTTTTATCCTTAGTGGAAACTGAGACTAAAGAAAAGCACGTGTGACTTGTTTCCCCTCCCTTTAATTTCTCCTTTTTTTGCTTGAGAAAAATAAAACAGCTTTTTGAGTTCTGTAAGAAAATGTTTTTTAAAAGGTAGTAAGGAACAGCATTTCTAAATTTAAACTACTCCTTTGAAGTTACATAATTAATAGTCATTTAATGGTGGTCTAGAATTATTTAAATGCTTTTGAATTGTATGTATGCTTTTAATGCAGCCCTTAGTGAAGGCTCAGCAGGCCTGGGGAGTGCTTGCCACTGTACCCAGACTGTCCAGAGACATCTTCCCCATAGGTACAGGAAAGCTATCGCTAACCTGCCCCCCTTAGTTGTCCTGCAGGCCAATTTCAGAATTGTGTTTCTCCATTAATAGTCTTGAAGGGCCCAATAAAAGCAAAACAAACCTGATGACACACAGGAAAAGCTTACACATGTATGTACAAACATAAGGAAGCTAACTTATGCACCAAAATTAGGAAGTAAATCTGTATACCTTTGTTTAACTCTGAAACAACACAAGGAAGGCTTATTTAACTTTGAATGTCATTAAGGAGGCTCTATGTTTTGCTTTGTTTTAGGTATTTTTAATGAACTCTGAAGTAAGCACTTCATGTTGCTGCAGTACGGACTTTTAGAATTAAGTTTGAGAAGCAGTAAAAAATGCTGAAAGAGAAAGGTAAGAGATTGCAGCATCTTCTTCTTTCAGGAGTTAGGTACAAAGATCTGGGTAGACTTGAGTAGATGAAAGGATGAGTTTAAGTTTATTATAAGAAAAATCATTTCCATGGATTAGAAACAGTTTTAAAGTGTAATTTTCCAACACAGGTGAACAAGGATCCAAGATATCTTCCGGAATGTAAAATATAGTGTATAATGTCAACACACTACTAAGCCCTAAGGCTAATTATTTCTATTTCAACGCATGCATACAAGAGAAAGCAGGAGCTGCTTCTATTTATTTTTTTCAGTCCTTTCATCAGTAGATTAATGGTGAGGAAATAAAATGCTATTAACAAATCCCTGTGGGCCCAAAGATGCATGTGAGTACTGGAGGTACATTCATAAGCAGGGAAGAAAAAGAAACTGAAGTCATATTTTCATACTTTAAAGTTTAAGAGCACATTAAATATGGCCATAGAAGAGGATGCTGAAAACTTAAATGTAGTATTTTTGTATGAACATGCACAGGACATCAGGGTGCTGTAAACTGAGTACTTTTTTGTTCTGAGCACTCAAGGAAGAAAAAAGTCATGAAAAGACTTACCTTATTTTTCCAGGTGGATGGCAAAATGTACACTTAAGATCCCACGTAAATGAGTCCCATACAGTGACAGTTTCTTCAAAGCTAACAGCAAGCAAAGATCCATCTTCTGAGAAACAGCAGTTAGTAGCTTGGTAGTTGTGGTAGCTGCCTACAAAGTCACAGCTCCAACTCACACTTTGCTGTGCTGCATTGAATAAACAAACTAGTTAAGCTGGTTCAAGTTGAATTCCTGCTTCCTTCACATTAAAGTTACAGCTGTAAAACAAGCTCAAAAGCAAGAGTTTTCATTCAGAAGGCTTCTGGATGAGAAGCACAGAGAATCTCGCCCAAGAAATGGGCAGCAAGGTTTCCTTTTTTTCTTAAGTTTTGTACTTGAGCAGTGACCTCCTGAGAGTAACGTGGTACAATACACGTTTAATGTGCAAACTGTGGCAATGGTGCTGTTCAAAAGCAGGTGTTGGATTAAAAGCAAACAAAACCTTCCACTCCCACTCACAAATCCTCCTGAAGTAGATTCTGAAGTGCGACAGCCTTTTGAAGCAAGAACACTAGTACTCCAAAAAATGTAAACTCACTTTACACTTGATTCCAAGAGAACTTGTTTTGTGTTAACTTGTTAACTTGTATTTAACACTGAGGATCCCATAGTGATCTGTTAGCATGATTTGGTGTCCTGATTAACCTGCCAGTATGCTAAACTGAGATAACTTCTCCATTATTGGTAATTACCATGAAATAATCTGGAGCAAAGGGATGTTCTTACCATGTAACATTTTCTGGTATAATTTAGTTTGTACACCATGCTTTTGAAAAAATGGAAATCGCATGAGGAAAGTGGGTAAAAATGAATGTACCCTATGCTACATTATCCTTTATATAACAGCTGAGATGATGATGAAGAGACCTAACTGTACAAAAGCCAGAGAAACAGATTGTTTCTTTAAAATGGCACCACCTAGAGGCACAAGTTGATATTTGCTGCAAAAAAAAAGTGCTTTCTGCATCCTACTCCCTTAAACAATTCTGAAATGACTGCACCTACAGGAATAACACAAAAGCATTTTCTCAGCATAGAAGGAGTCATGATCCTAAACAAGCCTTTAAACAATGAGCACAGGCTGCCGCTCTTCTTTGTGTCAGTCTCAGGAAGGTCTTTGTTTTTTTAAAAACAATAAGTAATGCAAAATTATGATAGAATTTCATCAGAAGGGATACTCAAAAACATACTTTGTGACACAGCTGAAATATATGAACACATGGGACTAGATGGCCTAGTTATGAAAGAATAAAATTAACTGTCAGAACTTCTATAGCATGTTATAAGGTGGTAGCCAAGAGCAAGCTCTTTTGGTCAAGCTTACCCTCAGGATCTGTGTCTTCTACTATCACCCAGGCTTTAAACAGACAGTCTTTGCTAGCTGTTACCAACATTGCAGAGTCATCTTCCATTTCATCTGCGTCACGGAAGCACATGGCTGTTATGTGGTCCTCATGTGGCATGTTTATTCTAGTATTCAGCTTAAAGCTGTAGTTAAGGAAAGAAAGTAGAAGTTTGCCATTTTTATTTCTTTGGAAATTGAGAAATTTGTTTCAGATAATTCTGGAAGGGGAAGCAGGAATCAAAGAAATTTCTGCCTAGTTGAATAGAGAAATGGTATCTCATTTACTAAGATCACTTTTACCATGTCACTTCCATACTTAAAGGGAGATTGTGGCCCACCACTGAGAAAAGATGACTCCTACTAAATAAGCATTACTCAAATATTCAGCAACATACTTGCACAACATATAAGAAATGGGTTTTGAAATCTTGAGGACAGCTCCAAAGTTATAATTACCTCTGTGTTTCTTCATCATAGATCCACAGCTTCAACTGTAATTCAAGGTCAGTGTCATCTTCTCGCTCCTCTACTGTTGCTAACCACTTGCCTTGTGCACTAAATGCAACTTTTACCAAATCAAGCTGATTTAGACCTTCCTGATGGATGTATTCTTGTTGCACAATATCCAGCTGCAAAACAAGACCAAAAACAAATTTCAGAATTCAAGTATACATATAGAGATATATCTCATTCACAAAGCTCTGGAGAAAAGATATATGAAAGCACTGATGAGAATTGACTGGGCTGGAACATAAACAAACTTGGGGAAAGATGCATTATGGCTCAAGTTCCACGGTAAGGTGGAATTTAGTTTCCTGTTAAACATGAGAAAAATAAGGCAAAAATTTCTACCTAGAGATACGCAGGCATTAAACTTGGAAAACAGGACACTTTCTAAGGATTTATTCAGTGGTTAAAGTTTAATTATGCTTAAGAGTCACAGAAGTCTGTGAAAAAGCCTGAAACCCCTCTGCCTGGATTCTAGTCTAATATACAGATGCTGGATTTTTTTCCTGTTTGCTATATAATTCTTCAAAGAAATTCTGTTGTCAAAGATTTGTCTGAAAAAGTTGAAATTATGGCATCGGCCTATCCAACTTACACTGTAGAGCTGTTTGTCAGTTTGGAGACAGTAGAACTGCAAGTGGCCAGGCTCTCCATTCAGGACCAAAGCTTTAGTTCTAGGATCAACCACTAGACCAGTCTTGACATCCCTAGCTGGAAACAAAAAGAGATGATAAATGGCCTAAAATGAAAAATGACATTATCTATTACATGATAAGGTAAGTTTTATTGCATTTACCTTTGATTAATCCTTGAATACTTCTGGAAAATCTTAGATTGCTGCTGATTATTGTAATTCCTGAGGAGGGAAAAGTTTTACAAGACAGACTTTCACAATACAAATGCATCCCATGGGAGAAGGAAGATACCTTAACTACCTCTCCTTAATATTACAAATACAAATTAAATATATTAAAAAGCCAACTCCATGTTCCCATCCTTTCAAAATATGCAAGACCCCACTCCTTAGTTCAGACAAATCCAATTACAGCAGTCCTTAGGCTAATTCATAGAACTGATGAAAGCAAAAATTATCAAGCACCTCTTCTTTCAGGTCAACATTTAATCTGTATTTAGTTAATTCATGTGAAACTAACAAAACACCTTACAGAGACTCATACCCTCTTGTGCATTTTGTGTTACTTAAACATGTTTGGGCTTACTGTTGTCTGTGTGTGAGGTGCAATATGAAGTGCCATCTGATGAAACAGAGATGCACTCAATAGCAGATCCCAAGCGAGGAAGGAAATCCTTCTTGCAGTCGGACCCATTGTGCCACTGAACAAGAACTGATTCGATTCCTCCGCTCAGCAGGCTGGTTCCTTTACAGACAAGAAGTATGCTGTTAGTTTTCATTATAAAATCAGCGTATGTTAGACATATACTTAAAAATTTTCTTAAACTATGTCAAACAAAACTAGTATTCCTCCTATTTAGCCTGGGCAATATCTCCATATACATTTGCTTTCTCATGTTAAATTGCTGGAGAAATTAAATAACGAAAGCTTGTGCTTACAGTAAAACTTAAACATTGCCTTGGGAGCAATAACTCCTATTCTGCATCAGAATACGAATTTTTTTTGAACAGATTTTGGCAAGAATTCTAAAGTGCCAGTGATGGGGAAGAGAACAAAAGGAAAAAACAGGTTTGGATTTTACTTTCTACCTTAGAAGATAGATGCTTGATGTTATGCCTGACAGAAAGCTGTAACTTTCCCTCTTAATCTGAAATCCTTCCTGAAGATCTGTAAATTCTATAAATGAAAGTGGACAAACTCAATTCTATTGTTTCATTCTTCCTAACCTGGCTCTGAAAGACTTTTGTACTCACCCTCTACAGAAAAGGCTAGATCCATGACTATATCATGATGCCAGTGCAGTGTGGAAAATGTATATTCTTTATTGTGGTAGAAATTCCTCCTATGGAGAAGAATGTTGTTTAGAAGAGCACTTAAATGCACAGGATCAGTGACAAGAGCACAATGGGGAATATCAAACTGAATCAAATATATCATCCTCTAACCTCTAGGCTGCAATTTGATGTATGCTTGAGTAATGCAAAAGGGAGCAAAAGCAACATGTTGAGGTTTTTCAGAGAAGTTTGTCTTTCTTATGCACATTGTATATCTTAAATAGCCAATGCAACTTAGCTGCAGAGCAGCTTGGCAAGCTGATACTCAACTGTGCGATTCTGCTAGTATGTCCTCACTAGAACTCTGTTTATGTGTCAAAGAGATACTTCAACAACCTGAGCAACCTTTTTCAAGTGCAATTTTGTGAAGCATGGCTTAACAGAAATGTCTTCCCACTTGGCATTAAACTGAAGCTGTACCCTGAAGTCAGCCTCAGTACTGCAAAACTACAGGGCTGGCCATTCTTTGCTTGTAATGGCTTCTAACGGAGGCAATGTAAGGACTAATCAGATTTGTTCACATTTCTCTCAATTTTATGGTCTTGGTCTGTTGATAGGCTACACAAGGGAACCAAAATGAGCATACCAGAGCCGAATCTTTCCATCGCGGTGGCCCGTGGCAATACAGTCCTCCCTGGGGTGGCACGCTACGCAAGTGAAGCGATTGTTTCCACCCTTGGTGTTTGTTGCACTTAAAGAAAACCTTCAAGGTTAAGGGAAATAACATTAATTATCTGAATGAAATTTTCCTTTTGTTAAAAAAGCCTCAAAGATATCAGCTGTTGCATAAATGCACAATTTAGACCAGGAGAATCAAAAAAATCTTCAAGTTCATATTTCTAAGCTGTTATATGCTCTCAAAAACAGTGACAAGTAAAGCTAGTCTTAATTATTCCACACTGTCTGGCAGGTTCTCAGACAAGAATGGAACCATCCCCACCAGTATAAAATTAACACATTGGCCACTGATGTAAAATAATGCTTGCATCATCAGTTAGTATAGACATTTACAATGTATCATATTGAAGCAGTAGTTGATGTGTTCCTTCTTACCTGTTTATCTGTTTCCTTTTGAAAAAATAAACTTGGAGTTCAAGCTCTTTTACTGATGCCACATATTCACCCTGTTATGGCAAAAATGAGTTTAGGATATACAAATTGTGTTGTTATGAAAAGGGCACGGATAGAAATCAAGCTTCACTACAAGGCATTTAACATAGCATGTAAACTGATATTAGATAAATAGTTTCTTTTCAAGTTTTTGTCTGTTAAAGCATAGGGCTTTCAGCATACAGATTCTTCCAACTTCATTTTTGTTTCAGTGGTGCAAGAAGTTTGGGCAGAAACACACAAACCAGAAGCACTGAGATCTACTTCCAGCTGTAACCCTATTATCTTTCCATGCATTTTAAAAGTGTTTTTCTGCACTGTAAGAAAAAAAGGAGAGGTATGCAACTAAGACGGTATCTTTTGTTTCCTTCCTATTTGCTGTTCTAAATAGGATAGAATCAGTTGTTACAAAGAAAACTGTAATGTGAAATCTGAGCAAAACAATGTTAAAATGTACTTTTAAAGTCTAAACTTCTCTACAATTTACCTAACAGCATATAAGGCTTTTATTTTTCTTTTTAAGAACTTCAATATCAAAAGGTATTTTTATGAGTACCATCTTTCCAAGTATGTATATTTTACCAGACTGATTTTTCTGGGCTTCTTTTCCATAATGCTTAAATGCTTACTAGATATGAGGTGTGGGTGTTTTTTTGGTGCTTCAGTAGACTTAATCTTACTGGATTGTTCTACTAAATGTTACGGCTGTTTCCAAGTGCTGCTGTAGTTAAATTTGTTGAGGGGTAGCCTTTCTAAAATCTACTGATTTTTAAAAAATCTACTGATTTACTAAAAAATCTACTCACTTCTCTCATCTACTACTAGAAAATCTACTGATTTACTGATTCAGACACAGATTAAAAACTAAGATTCATACTTAGACTTATGCTAGAAAGGTTTGTAAAACTTTTTAATGCTGTTTTACTTAACAGGTCTGACTATTGCTGTGCTTGTATAAAATCATAAGCAGTATCTAGTTTGTTTGAGGGGAAAAACATCAACTAAAAATGTGAATATACTTCTCTTCCAAATGCAGTGTACTTAGGTGACTTATCCACACCATCCAAAATCACAGACAATTCCTTGGCTTCAATTTCTTGGCCCGCTGCTTTTGTCAGCTTAACCGATACCAGTTGGAAAGAATCTGACAAAAGAAAACACTGTTACATAAGGCTTTTATAATCAAGTTTATATATGCCTCCTGCAAAGGAGGATTTGCACCTGTTCCCCTGTAAACAAAATGTATGTTTGTATCTTTCAGCATTTTTGATACCTACTGAGAAATTCTGTAACACTTTCCAGAAAAAAACAATTGTTTTTGTTTTGAATATTCAGAATTGAAGGTTAGGTAGGAGTTTTCTAGTGCAAATGTGAAGCAGAAACCAAGCAAAATAATGTAGTATTTGTTCTTGCTCTGAATGATGCTAACAGAAATATAGCACAAGTAGGTCTAGTTATAGCTATGTTTCTCTCGGACAAAATCCTAGGGGGGAAAAGCAGCTAGGTGTTTGGTTATACTGGGCAAGTCTGTTGATATCTCTTAAGATGGGAGACGTGTGTCTGCAGTACACCCTATACTAAAAGCAAGCACTGCTTGAGGATTTGTTACAAATCTACAACATCAGATATACAGTATGTGCTTCAAAAGTGAAGCACTCTTCTAGTCAAATAAAAAATAGATATAATTGAGAATGAGAAGTCTCAAGAGACAAAATGCAGGAGTACAGACATCTAAAGACTTAAGGAGTATTTTCAAGAGAGTACATTAAAGGATCTTCTTGCAGCAGACTGTTCACTGACCTGATAGTAGCTAAGTATAAACATTTAAATTAGATATTAATTCTACTGTACCTCTTTCACCACTCTTTGGAATTATAACAAACACTGAGTCCTCAAAACTATCAAGTGCATACAGTGCAAGAAGTTTGCATCCTACGGTGAAAGTCTGGAAAAAACAGAGAAAAAAAAATCAGTTATTATATTCAAACACAGTGTTTTTAACAAAATCAGTAATGCTGTATTTTTGCAGTTGGGGAAAGATTCACATTCATTTTTTATTTTAAATATGAACTGTAAATATGCTGTATTAATTTTCAATTCTAGGACAAAGAGCTCTATTCTATCAAGGAGGCTAATAAAAATAATGTTAAACAGTACAAACTAAATACGAGATACCAGAGTTAGTTAAAATCTAAAGGTAATTTTATTTCAAAGCAGAAGAGCTGTCTACAACTAATTGCCTCTCTAAAACAGAACAGGAACAGCAGGATACAATTAGCAGTTCATATTTTTGTGCTATCATACCAACTTCTATTGGCATAACTAAAATCTGCAACAAATTCCCCAATAACTCCATTGGACTTTGTACTATAGCAAGAAGCTAGAAGTTCAAATAGCAATACATAGCCCTTGCCTCTTAAGGCTACGCATCATCCCAAATTTCTATGCTGTAGATTTTAGTTCATAAAAACTGTTTTTTGCCTGTGTTAATGGTTGAACAACAGCTCTGAGACTGATCTGTGACCATTTGCACTGACAGCTACAGCAATCCTTGTCACTGGGTCAAGAATAATTCTGAAGTGTACATAACAGGAATTACATACTTTAATGAGAATCCCATCTGTGAAGTCCCATAGTTTAATGGTGCCATCAAGAGATGAAGAATAAAGCTGAGAAAAAAAAAAGCCAAATTTTACATAAACTTACAACTTAAATTTGAAGAATTGGTCAATAATTTGATTGTCTGAATAGATGAAACTTCAAAAATACAGAACACAAAAGCTCCAAAATGCCTGCCAATAAGTTCCAAGGAAAATATAATACTTATTGTAGCTTTACAAAAATTATAAAAGAAACTGGGGGGTATTTCTCTTTAACCATCTGAAACTGACATGACACTGACACACAGATATCTCCTATGCTTATTTACATTTGCTTCACCTCTTGCTTACAGGATCTGTGTAACCTGTGCATCAGATGCAGTCTGCCTCTGCATGGAATTCCTGTTTATATACAAACAACAAAAGTAGAAAAGCTGATAACCAAACTAGCAGCAGCAATGAACAGGGCAGAGAAACTGCCCATTGCCAAAGAGCAGCTGAGCAGCTGAGAAAAAGCACAGGCTTGGTCAAATCTGGACCCGTTTCTGATGTGATTCCTGCATGTCTCCATCCCTGGGCTGTTTCTGTGCTTCTCTGTTTTCTTTTTAGCTCACGTAAAAGGAAAGCCCTGGCACATGGTGAAACTGGCCCTCATGTACAGAGCTGCCCATTGGGGGGAAATGCCAACCTCTACACGTGGTATTGATTTCCTCAAATTCAGTTCCTGTGATTCTCTAAAGGAATCAACAAGAACTTGGTGCTTCCACTGCTAGAAAAAGGCCCCTTTGGGCAAGTGCAGTCCATGTGATGATGTGTGCACTTGTAGCAGATGCATAAGCCGCTTACTCTTGCGAATCAAAGCAGAAGAAATGCTAGTTTAGGTTTTTCCCTGTTCTTTTCCAGGAAACAGCCGCCCCCCTCCCGTTCTCAAAGGGCGCACACCCCGCGGGCCGCCCCCCGCCCCGTACCCACCTGCAGGCGGTTCTGTGGGTTCAGCGCGAGGCCCGTCACCAGCTC